GCCTCAGAGCCCAGAGCGCCACTCCCCAAGGGTCAGCTCCTACCCTCACTGAGCCTGGTCCCACGACTGCCACAGGACCACAGGGTGAGCTCCGCTCCCACCCTCACCCAGCCCAGCCCCACGACTGTCACAGGGTCACAGTGTCAGGCTCCTCCCACTTGGGCCCAAGGGACAAAAAGGCAAAGCCTGTTTTTCCCTTTGTATGCCTCGGGCTCCTGCACTTTTACCTGACCCAGTAGGTTCTGGAAGGTTTTGTGAGAACAAACTCTTGCCTTGCCAACCAGGGAGAGAGGGGAGGTTTTGTTGTGTGTGGAAAAGCTCATGCTGCTCTCGGCCCTTCTGAGGGAGCAAAACTCCCTCAAAAACTCCTCTCAAGGTGGGAGATGCGACCCCCGCCACAGCTCGTGACTCGCAGACGTGAGGCTCTGGAAACCCTTCTTCCAGGTGCCTTGGAATTCCTGTAAAGTGCACGGAGAAGCTCAGAGAAAAAGATGAGCAGAGAGAGAACCGGGACCCGGAGAGAGAGAAACAAGGTGGGCGAGATGCGGTGAGAGGAGGGTGAGAAGTGTCTGCCCCGCCATTTCCCTGCTGTGTTTTCAAAATGCATCCAATGTTCCCCCACGGCCGACTCTCGCTCAGCCCATTAGATGTGCTGCCTCTGTTCATCCCTGTAAGAATCTTATAAGGCAAATATTTTTTAAATGTTCATTTTCTGTCTTAAAAAATCAGTTGGCCAGACTGAGTGACTTGTCCAGGGTCACACAGCCGTGAACAATGGAGCAGAGCCCAGAGCAGCGCCTGCTGCACCCCCATTCCCCACAGCTCCATGCAGAGGCCACCGCTGGACTGTGGCCTCTGTGCTAGGCCCCCATATCAGGGAAATGGGAATCGGGGCCTGTGCAGAGCAGTCCGAACCCTAATTGGGTGATATCACCCCCAGAGGGCCCAGCCGGTGTGTCCAGGACAGGCCCCTGAAGTATGCTGTTATTAATTATTGATTATCATGAAAGAGGCCCTCATATCATAATCTGACATTCATGGTTTATGCCATGGAAAACTTTAATTCTGAGAGTCATAGGACATTGAATCAGAAAGAGGCGTTCGGTGCAGCTAGAGGCAAAGCGTTGCTCCGTGAGTTCCAATCCAAGATCCAGCAAAGGTCATACTGTAATCACACTGGCCGTCTCGTCCATCTCCACCTTGCTAGAAATCAATAAGAAATTACAGAGTACCAAGCAAATTTATATGCAGTCTGGTATGGGGTTGGGGAGTTGACCGTGTTGGGGTTTTTGCTCCATCTTTAAGTTCAATTTGGAAAATCACATGGTTAATCTGATCTGCTAACCCTTGGCCTGAAACACACTAAACAGTAGAGTTCAGTGCTATATGTATACCCAAAGTGCATAATGACTAGCAAAAGCATTTGCACTCAGCACTTTCTCCTCAGAAGGTAACTGTTTCTACTGCCATCAACTGTAAATGAACGTTGTGCACCTATACTGATCAAGCTCTCAGATCCACATTTTGAACAAAATTAACTCCCCAAACCTAATACTTTTTAGACACAATTGCCAGAGAAAACAACAGAGCCACCTCACAATTCGGGAAATTCAAATGAGAAATAGAGATTTTAGCAAACAGAGAGCACTTTTAAAGCAGAGCCGAGAGCCTTCTGCAGGAGCACCCAGATGGTAATGATAGTTGAGGCCAGGAGACGATGGTTCCACCCCGAGCTGAATGGGCAGGCAGCGTGCAAGCTGAAAGAATATTCTCCAGTGTCAGGATACCTCGCGAAGGTGCCCGATTTTCAAAGGCATCTTTTGTGCCTGCGAAATGTATGTTTTTATCATTCTCCAACAATGATGTCATAAGCTGAGGGGCAGGGAACGTGGGGCTGGGCCAGCTCGGTCTCATTCCTGCTTGGCTTCCGGGCCACATGGCCAGCAAATCCACGTGTCAACATCCAGCCACACTCAACCTCTATTTCTAAGCTGTGGGTTAGCTGTAAAAATTGCCTCGAGTTTCCACTTGCTTAATGGAAAAAACTCATCCACACCCAGCAGAAAAGCCTCTCTCCACGGACGAAGCCAATGCGTGAGGGGAAGCCTGTGTGTTCTTGCCTGGAACAGCTCACCATCCGGTCACACGTGGGGCAGCCTGTGGGTTCAGCTTCCTCTTCCTCTTCCAGAGAGCCCAGAAAAGGGTGTTACTGTACAGAGGCCAAGACAATGATGGAAGTAATCAGTTTCCATAAAATCACCTTTATAGCAACAACACAGACAAGAGTGATCCGATGCCTGGGACTGAACTGCACCTCGACCAGCTAACAAACTCTGCGACCTCAGTAAAGGAACTTTCTCACTGAGACAATTGGACATTAATACATTCCCCAGGGCTGACGGGGGCCATGAGAAACAACAAAGTCTGGTTCTGCAGGAGCCAGGCCTCAGGGAGGGGCAATGGTGCAGCTCACTACCATAATTTTGTATTTTGTGGTAAACCTGTATGGAGCCTTCCAGAAGCACATTCACCAGTGAGGGCAGTATGGACCCAGCAGGTTGTGGGGTCATCCATGGCTGAGATTCCCTAATGGAACAACTTTGCCAGAAAACAGTGGTCCAGGATAGTCAGTCTGGAAAAGTTAAATCATCATCAAATGCATCCGTCACCCTGGCTGGCAAACGACGATTTTGCTAAATTGACTTCAGAACATTTTCTGCAAAAGAAATAAAGCACCGCAGTCACACGTGAAGTCACCCCCAGCCCCTCATTGCACTGCCCTCCTGCACTCCCCAGGGGAGACCGGACTGGATCTTTATTACCCACACATCAGCAGCTTTGTCACAGATAGATGACTGCATGAAGAATATAGAACGTTGGTGTTCTTATAATAATAATATCCTACCCTATGGGTTATTTTGCAAGTCAATTTTACTATCTGGCATCCTATTTCTTGAGATTCATCTACATGGAAGCATACAGACGTAGTCCATTAGACGCAACTGCTATACAGTATTCTATATATTCTGTAGTGTGATTGTATCACTGATTACTCATCATTCCTCTAACCATAGAAACTTGGGCATTTTCAAAGTTTTCAGTTTTGTGAAAGCATGCTGCAGTGCACACCCTTGTTCAGCTCTGCCTCTGTGTATGAAGGTTTCTGTAGGACGCATCTCCAGCGGCAGAATTGCTGAGTAAGGCATGTGTTTCTTTATTCTTGCCCCACGCTCCCAAAATGCATTCCAAAGGATCTGTGCTTATGCTCCTGACCACCGACCCCTGGTACCTACCCTGAAAACACTGGGACATTACAGGTCTTTTTACAGTGCTTGCCTGTCTGATGAAGGTGGTAAGACTCCCAGGGGCAGAAACCAAGTGAGTGGCCTGGGTTCCTGCCAGGGGCCAGCTTTTGACCCATCTTGGCTATCATCGTGCCTTCCTCCCTACATTTTATTTAAAGTGAGAAAGGACTGACTCTTCCTTTCACTAAACACTAAGGGGTCACTGCATGGTTATTAAGTGGCCTAATTTCAATACTGGGGCTTCTCAGGGAGGCCCAAGCAGAGGGAGAGAGATGAGGGAACAGCCGGCTGGTGGAGCGATCGGAACACACACAACACTTCCTAAGTTTGCCGTCTTAAATGGGTGTGGTTCGTGACACCCCAGGACAACCACCATAGTAACATCAAAGATCACACAGCAGAGGGCACCATAACAGATACAATAATGAGAAACTTTGAAATATTTTGAGAATTACCGAAATGTGGCTGGGTGCGGTGGCTCTCATCCATAATCTCAGCACTTTGGGAGATGGAGGCAGGCGGATCACCTGAGGTCGGGAGTTCAAGACCAGCCTAGCCAACATGGCAAAATCCATCTCTACAAAAATACAAAAATTAGCCAGACGTGGTGGTGTGTGCCTGTAATCCCAGCTACTCAGGAGGCTGAGGCAGAAGAATTGCTTGAATCTGGGAGGCAGAGGTTGCAGTGGGAGGGGTCGTGCCACTACACTCCAACCAGGGCAATAGAGAGTCCATCCCCACCAAAAAAAAAAAAAAAAAAATCACCAAAATGTGACACAGAGGCATAAGGTGAGCGCATGGCATGGGATAATGGTGCTGATAGAGTTGCTCAACTCAGGGTTGCCACAAACCTCAGATTAGTGAATAACACGATACCTGGGAAGCCAAACAAGGAGGGGTGCCTGTACTTTAAGTCACCTCTGGAAGAAGCATACTGCCTAATACAATGTAAATGCTATGCAAATCGTTGTTATACTGTATTGTTTAGAGAATGATAACAAGAAAAAAGTCTGTACACGTTCCGTAGTGATTCATCCATTTTCTCCCAAATACTTTCTCTCCACAGTTAGTTGAATCCATAGATGGGGAACTCAGGAATACAGAGGACTGAGGGTAGTTACTGAATAGGTGTGCCCCTCCTCCGTGGAGAAAGACCGGGACTCACCCCAAGGCCGCAGTGCCTCACCTGGGCGGGCTCCTATCCTTCCCTCCAGGGAGGTCTCAGGAGACGCCACCTGCCTCACCTCTGGCTGTGAATGAGGAAGTAGAGTTTGGGGGCTGGACCCCCTGCCCCTCAGTATTGGGGGGCCCTGGTCACCGGGCCTGGAGGTCCCTGTAGCAGGTGGGAAGGGGGACACTAGGCCACACCACCCCAGGAAAGGCCTCTCTGACCTTTGACATTGCACAAAACTTGTCCAAAGTCAGGGGCGCTTGTCTGTTTGGGGTACACAGTGGCACTTAGAGCGGGAGCCAGCCCAGAGGAGGACAGCTCCCAGCCACAGGCCCTCAGCAAGGGACCAGGGACGCTGCTTCCCCGCATGGGCCATAGGCCCCCCCAGGGGCTCCCTCCCTCCAGTGGCCACAGTCATTTCTCAGGCCTGGCCTGGGGACAAGGGACCCTAGGGGAGTGCCTGCTGTTCCCATCGACCTGCCGGCGCTCGCCCAGGGTCCTGACTGGTCTGTTCTCCCCTCCAGGTACCAGCAGCGCGGAGGTGAAGGAGAACCGCAATGTGGGCAACCTGGCCGCGCGGCCACCGCCCCTGGGTGACCGGGCCCGGGGCGGTGCCCCCGGTGCGAAGAGGAAGCGGCCGCTGGAGGAGGGGAATGGAGGACATTTGTGCAAACTGCAGCTGGTCTGGAAGAAGCTGTCGTGGTCGGTGGCGCCCAAGAACGCGCTGGTGCAGCTGCACGAGCTGAGACCGGGCCTGCAGTACCGGACAGTGTCGCAGACGGGCCCGGTGCACGCCCCGGTCTTCGCGGTAGCGGTGGAGGTGAACGGGCTCACGTTCGAGGGCACGGGCCCCACCAAGAAGAAGGCCAAGATGCGCGCGGCCGAGCTGGCGCTCAGGTCCTTCGTGCAGTTCCCCAACGCCTGCCAGGCACATCTGGCCATGGGCGGCGGCCCGGGCCCTGGCACGGACTTCACCTCTGACCAGGCGGATTTCCCCGACACGCTCTTCCAGGAGTTCGAGCCCCCGGCGCCACGCCCGGGTCTCTCGGGAGGCCGCCCCGGGGACGCCGCGCTTCTGTCCGCGGCCTACGGACGACGGCGGCTGCTGTGCCGCGCGCTGGACCTGGTGGGCCCGACCCCCGCAACCCCCGCGACCCCCGCGGCCCCTGGTGAGCGCAATCCCGTGGTGCTGCTGAACCGCCTGCGCGCTGGGCTGCGCTACGTGTGTCTGGCGGAACCGGCTGAGCGGCGGGCGCGGAGCTTCGTGATGGCCGTGAGCGTGGATGGCAGGACGTTCGAGGGCTCGGGGCGCAGCAAGAAGCTGGCCCGGGGTCAGGCCGCGCAGGCCGCGCTGCAGGCGCTTTTCGACATCCAGATGCCCGGCCACGCACCCGGCAGGGCCAGGACGCCAATGCCGCAGGTGAGGGGCGCGGGGGGCGCGGGAGGACCCCGACATTTCCCTGTGGGCACTGGCGTCCGGGCTTCTCGGGGAAGGAGCGGCCGCGTGGAGCGGGAGGGGAAAGAATGTCCCCCCGGGCTGGCGAGGTGACCGGAGAGCAGGTGCTGCCGGCGGTTTTGAGGGTGACGATGCGGCTGCCCGGGAGGAGACGGCGAGGCCGGGTAGGGAGCTGCCGGGGTGCCTCCGTCTGCAGGGTAGGGCCGGTTCCCCCGTGCCAGGCCTCGTGGGTGGCTGGGTCTCCACGCGTGGGGTCGGATGGTCGTGCTGGGTACAATTGGTGTCAAGTTTTCCACCAGGGAGGCGCCCTGTGCCTGGGTGCAGCCGGGGAGGCCGCCCAGTCCCGCAGGATCCAGACGGGGTCCCTGGTCCAAGAGAGAACCGCGCTGGGAGGCTGAGGAGGCCGGAGCGAGAGTAGGGAGCTGGACCTCACTCTGCCCGGCAGGACCCCTCTGGTTCCTTCCTGCGCGGCTGTGGGTCCGCCTTCTAACCTGTGTTTACCTTCACTCACATGTTCTCAGCTCTGTCTGGGTGTTACCGGTTGAAGGTGTCCAGGTTCTTGGCGCCTTGAACAAAGAATTGAACAAAACCCACAAAGCAAGGAAAGAAAGAAGCAACAAAAGCAGAGATTTCTGGAAAAAGAAAGCACACTTCACAGGGTGGGAGTGCCTGCGCACAGGGGCCCCAGAGCGCCTTACAGAAGTTTCTGGGGTTTAAATACCCTCTAGAGGTTTCCATTGTTTATTCGGCCTAGGCCCTGTGTAAATGGAGAGGACACTTCCTGTCATCACTAAAGTATTTCCATTTGATTCAGCTCTAGAAAGTCAGTGTCAACTGGCCTTATGTTCCAGCCTCCAGACCCTATTCTGCTGCCTCATGTCTGTCAGAAACTATTCTGATACCATTTTAAAACAATCTTATCCTGCCAAGTCGTGCAATGGCTGAGTTATGCAAATTATCTTTTCTCTTATCATGTTCAGAATTATTTGTGGGCATCACTAATGTAGCAGATATAGAAAATTATCTTTATTCATTTTGGCATCAATCAAGGAAAGAAACATTTCACATAGTTAAAAAGCACTTAGCCCAGTGCGGGACTCGTCGTAAGTATGCAGTAATTGTAAGTTATGGCCGTGATCGCTACCATCGTTACATCCCAACACCTAGGACAGAATCCGTTATTTTGCCTGGGAAGATCATAAATCTCTTCATGAATGCAGGTCCCACTCCAACCCCAGACGCCGCTCAGGGAGACTACAGGGTGACACAGACCACGTGGGTCGTGACAGAGCCCTCATCTTGAATTGTGACTGGGTTTGAGTGCTCACTATTCACTTGTCAACCAATGCTTGTTGAACTCTTGGCCGGCATGGGGTAGGGCACACCCCGGCCATCTGCCTCTCAGGAAGCCATTCATTCATTTTCAAGTACTTGTGGAACATCCGGTGGTCATTTTAAGGAGTGGGTTAGAGGGATTTAAATCACAATCTCTGTCAGTCTTGCTGTCCAAACTCATCCTCAAATAAAAACACAACGGTAAGTAAAAACAAGGTGGTGGACAGCAAGAACGGCTTCCACATAAGTCCCTGGACACTTCCTCACAAGGGTGCTGGGGCCTGGCTTGGTCTTTTCTTATGCCTCCTTCTTATTTACTCCCCTCTCTCTTCCTTTTTCACCCTGTTTCTGCACTGTCTGTAGTTTAAACTTGCCAGCCAGTGACAGTTCGGGAAGCCACTTCACCCCTGCAGCCTGGGGGAGGGAGGAGGGGCAGAGGGGGCTGGGGGGCACTGGGAGAGAGCCCTCCTAACGCTGCCCACGACCTTGGGTGCAACCTTGGCAGGCTCAGGTCTCCTGCCACCTTCTCTGAGAAGCCCCAGCACCCACGGTCTGGGGCGTGTCCCCCGTTGCTGGGATACTTTGCTCACCCAGCTGGGCCTGCCACTCTTCTGTTGAATCTGTTAAGCAGGAAACAGTCCTCCACGCCTCCCCAGTCCCTCTCCTGCGTCCCTCTCATGTAAAATGTGAAGGATGTCAGTGAATTCTGGCTGCAATGCCTTTTGCTTTCATGTTGTCAGCCCTGAACTCTTACGATGGAGAAACCAGGCAGCGCTACTACTTTGTAATAGTCATTTGACCCCAGAATGCAGAACATCAGTTAGAGCCGTGGCCGCTAAATTATTTTTCTCTGACAGTCCCTAACCACCCGGACTGGATGATGAAGGGCGCAGAGCAGCACGAGGGTTTCGGGCCGTTCATCACTGCTCTGCACGCAGCGTCCCAGGGGCCCATTACCCTCCCTTGTACCGCTCCCCACGCGCACCCCCAACTGGGCGGGGGCTGGGAGGACACTGGGACTCAGGGCCAGGAACCTTCAGCAGTTTATTAAATTCGAATCATATTACGGATGTGATTCGGGGGGGAAAATGAAAAGAGTTCAGAAATTGCTGTAAATGTGGCTTTTCCTCCTTGCTCTGCCCCAACCTTCCCGCAAAATCCTGCCTCTACTTCACGGACCCCAGTCTACACAGCTTGCTTCTGTTCAGGCAGACCCCTGGTGCCACCGCATGGGGGTTCTGGAGCTGAAGTTCCTAAAGGCCTCAGTCCCTGGCCCTTGTCTGACGGCCCTGTTAGCACCCGTGTCTGGAGGGCAAGCCATGCGTTTTCCTGGGCTGTGTCCCACGCTGGGAAAAGGACAGCCCCACCCCCGGGGGATGGAGGGGGGAAGGCCGCCCTGCCGGAGTCCGTCCAGGGAGCCTGGAAGCAGCGCCTGCTGCTGAAACGATGCAGTTTCTGCACCTGGGTTCTCTGCCCACAGTCCCAGACTCACACCATGCAGGGCTGGCTTCCACGTGCAGAACGACAAACCCACCTCTGGATCCACATGGTGTTTCGGTAGAAGCCAGCAAAGATGCTGCACGTCTGCTCGGTGCTCTCCACCAAAGGCTTGCTCCTACGAATGAAGCTTCAGAACCATCCTGGTTTTGGATGGTTCTCCAGAACCTCCATCCTGGAGGGCAGTCTCCTCATTAAGTAACAGTCAATGAAAACAAGTTTCCAATGTGATGGTGCATACGAATCATTTGAGTGGTGTGTTTAGACACCTCTGAGGAACCTCCTGCAGGAACCCAGTGGGTTCTCGAGGGAAGTCAGCGGTCTGCACTTCCAGCTTGCGGAGTGGTCAGAGACCCACGCTGTTGAGAGCCAGTGCGGCCAGAGCCTGTCATGGTGCTGCTCACAGCCTCAGCCTGGAATGGCAGGGCCGTGGCGGGAAGAGTCTCTTTGTCCTGCCGGGACAGCTCGCAGGAAGCAGGGCCACCCAAAGGCCCTCGGAGACCTGAGTAGTGTCTGTAAGGGTGATCGTTGTGGTGGTGCTTGGGATTCAGAATCTCAGCTTCCTTATAAACACCTGAAGTCACACTCCAGTGGTAAAGATGTACGATAGACTTGTGTGTCATCTGGATTTTGAAAGAGGAAGTTCAGAAGCATGAATTCTCATAAAGATTAAAATCACAAGTGTGGCTTCTCCACATCTGATTTTCACTATTTCCTGCACCTGAGGGTGTTTCTCAGGATTGGACTCATCTAACCCTTCAGCTTCATGGGATCTGAGTCAGCCAGAGTGTCAAAAGCAGGCATTAATCAGATTCCTTAGAACTCACACCAGACCTAAACAGGTAGGGTTTACAGTGCTGGCGGAGGGTTTGCAGGCCAGTCTCCATGAGTATCAGCTGATAGGGGCAGTGCCTGCTCAGGTGCACCTGCCTGGCCCATTGCAAATCTCTCATGCTTTCCTCATCTGCAGTACACTCAAGGCTCCTCTAGGTTAACTGGGTACTCAGAAGTAAGAACAAGACTGTGTCAGGATATAAATATGTGCTACCTGGAGGCATCATCATAAAAGATGATAAAATCACAAAACCTACATCTCTCTTCAGTTTGCTCCCCACCCCAGCATGAAAAGAAATCCTAAGCAAAAATGCAACCATAAAGGAACGCTCTTCAGCATTTTCTTTCCATGAAAACTATTTAGAAAGGAGAACAAAGTACACCATAATGCCAGTAAAAATAAATCAATCAGTAAAAGTCACCTGTGTGCTCAGTAACTCTGAAAAGGAAGTTTATCGACTTGTTTGTGAGTTTATCTTTCATCCTCAAGTACCCCCTTTATTTCTTTGTTTTTTAAATTTTCACATCAGGCACGGACACCTTGTTGTCCACACACTCTCACCCCGCACTCTCCCACACTCAGTCCGTACTCCAAACTAGTGCCTTCAGAAACAGAAACAGTTCCTTGAATGACTTTCTAAAATTTTAAAAGAATCTTCGTTTTGCTGGAAAAAAAAAACTTTCCACTGCCACCCAGCCTTGTGAGAATTATTCACTGCCAGCAAGAAGTTCTTTATATTTGCATAAAGACTCAGAGAGACTGGGAACCCAGAGAGGGAGGGGTGGCACCTCGGGCATCCCCAGGCGGCGGAAAAGGCACTAGAACAAGGTGTTTGAACTGGAAACTGTGGGTTTGGCTCTGGGAATGCAGGTATTAAAGACATAAAAAGTGTCTGTGAAGTCCCTGGGAGAAGAAGCCTAGAGTTGGGCCTTCACCTCCTGGATGGACCTGGCTCCACATTCTCACCAAGCAATCCTCAAGGGCTGAGGGAACCGCAGGTTTCTCTCCTATCCGATGTCACAATGGCTTTGCATCCCCAACTGTTCCCACCAGAGACACCGTAATGAGAGGAAAGCCTGAGGGGTTCATCCTCTGTCCCCACACCAAGAAATATGCAGCTGAATCCTTGCAGAAAAATCATGACCAATTCTTGGGAATGGCTTCAATCAGTTGAGGCAGTCAGTCGAGATGAAGCCATTTCTTTGATGCGCAGAGCTAAGTCCAGGGCAATTTCTTTCTCCCTCTCTGTCTGTCTCTCTCTCTGTCTCTTTCTCTCTCTCTGTTTCTTCCTCTCTCA